GAGGGGAGGGGTTCTGTAGAGCCCCAAGGTGAGGTGGGGTGCTGGGGACAGTGGCGCGGAGCAGGGGTCTGGCCTGGGCAGGTGACAGCCGGCCCTTGGATCGGGCAGCTCGGGGCAGGCTGGCTCTGGGTGCGGGACCTGGAGCGGGGCCGGGCCCTTATAGCTGTAGAAGCAGCCCCTGGGGTGGGGGAGGCATCCTTCGCCCTCCCACGCCTGGCTGAGTTGCCTTGGAGCCCAGCCCAGATCGGGCTCTTGAAGAAGGGTCAGAGCACGTATCGGAGAGGAGAAGGGATTTAATCCAGCCCCGACTTTGAAAAGATTGGGATTCGAGCAGCCAGCCCTAAACGTCAGCCCTTCTCTGTTGTTTCTTCTTTAGCAAGTAGCTATCTGCCATTAAAAGTAAAGATTTAAGATCCAGAATGTGTTGTCTGCGTGGGCAGCGTGCTGAGGAGAAGGGTCTTTCATAGTGCCTAGCTAATTTTGAGGCTCCTGTTGTGCCAGGCTTTTAGGACTTTTTCTACCCTGACGATGTAGGGGGAATTAATACGGTCTGTCTGCGTGGCCATTTATCCAAGTTAAATGGGGCCAGGGGGCTGCGTTTCTATGCAGACAGTCAGAGGGCATGATATGGTGTTTGTGCTGCTTCATCCTGCTCTGCTGGCAGCAGTGAATTCCCCTCGCAGCCTGCCGGTCCAGAACGAAAGCACCCAACTTCTTTTTGACTCAGCAGCAGGGCATGCTTTGGGTTTCGGGGGCATGTTTTGGCTTGCGGGGCAGGGGTGCTTTTGACTCGGTACCAGGAACCCAGCAGCCCAATTTGTTGTGTTGTTGCAGCACAATAAATAGGCGGGAAGGACTGTCCCCTGCCGAGGATCTGGGGCAGAGTGAGCAGAGTTCCTCCTGGGTGAGCTGGGAGATTGCTAGATCTGTTCTGCCCGGGATCTTGAAATAGTATGACGCAATAAGAAAAGGGGGTTTTCATGGTTCCTGCTTCCCGGGGTGATGGTGAACCCGAGATCCTGTCCAGGTCAAGGATCTGAACTTCTTTTCTTCTCCGCAGAGCACCTTGAGTGATGCCCAAGAAGTTCCAAGGTGAAAATACCAAGTCGGCTGCTGCCCGCGCGAGGAAAGCTGAGGCAAAGGCAGCAGCCGATGCCAAACGTCAGCAGGAGCTGGAAGATGCCTACTGGAAGGATGAAGACAAACACGTGATGAGGAAGGAACAAAGGAAGGTGAATGGCTAGTCAGGTAGAAGGGTGCCTTCTACCTGGTCCTTTGCTAAGCCCGTGAGATCCAGGCTTGCTCAGAAAGGGTTGCTTCTCCTCCTCTGGCCCCCAGCTGTAGCTGTGTCTCCACACCTTGTCCTGTGCTTAGTTTTGGGCAGAAAAGCTGGAACTAGTGGCTTCTCTGGGAGCTAAAAGAAGCCGAGTGTGGGAGTAAGTGTAAGCTTTGATTTGTAATTCAGAAATCTGGTGGATCTTAGAGCTGACTTCCCGAGGGAGGCAGTAAAAGCTTTATTGTTGGAATCATTTAAAATTGAATTAAGTAAAAGATCAGGAACTCTGCTGCAGGGCTTGATTTTTGACCAAGCAGTTCTTTAGCTTTTTTTCTTTCTTTTCCTTTCTTAACTTTCCTTTGATTTTTGTGGAAGGAAAAAGAAATCAGCAGGGTTAAGGGCTGCAAAGCTTTTTTTTCTCCCTGACTTGGTGTGCCACACATCAGGACATGTCTCTCTCAAAAAATTCTCTCTGCTTTGCTCTTGCTCTGCCCTGGGTGCCCCTTTGCCTCGGTGTTCAATAAATGGAGCACTTTAGTGCTCATTTCTGGGTTATTTGGGTTTTAACGTTGTCCTGCATCAGCGTTAGACAAATCTACCTTCTCGTTTTGTGGATTTTTCTAGAAACAATTGTTGGTGATAACTTAGCTGCCTCTTCTGAAACGATTCCTTTACCCTCGTGCTAACCAGACAGGGCTTCTGTTGACGACATAAATGGTATTTATGGGGTTACTGGGTTTGTGCTGCTCTGTGAATTCGGTGCTTACCGAACTTTGTGTGTCGGTACTCGAGCACACTGGCCGGGCAGGCAGGAAGCCAGCGCGTCCCCGTGACCTTGGTAGCTGCGTGCTGTGTGCATCTGCGTGAGTTCACCCCTAATATGTGTCTTGACGTTTGGAATTTGGAATCCTGTGTGCTGTTCCCCAACGCAATCCTGTAATGTTGCCTAATTACTTCCTGGAACAAGGACTTATTATTGCTGTGCTTAAGACTTGGCCAACAGTGACCTATTTGACTGGGCTTCCAAAACAGCCTCCTGCAGGCAAGGGGCACGGGCGTCTGGAGAGGGGAGCTGTGTTGTGAGCTGGAATTGCTAACTGGAAAACCAGGGTCCATCCCAGAGCCTCAGACTGGGTTTTAGAGAAACAAGTGAGGCCATTTCCAGTCCGCACCTCAGCCATCCCCTCTCCCTGCATCAGCATAGCCGTAGTCTCTAGGTCTGAATTTCACTTGAATACTGTGTTTCAGTGCGTTTGCTTCCCACAAACCCCCCTGGGGACCTGCAGCTCACAGCAGCAAAAATCTCCGCTCGGATGGGGAGCTGTCCTGCCAGAAGGGCTCCGAGTCTAACTGTACCTGCACGGGGGCTCTTCCTGCTGCGGGAGCCTCACGCAGGTGCTACTACAGCCTAAGCGAGGGCTGCGGCTTCATGTAGGTGAGCAAGTGGCCAACAGACAGGAATAAGTGGGTTGCTGGGGGAAAATAAATCAGTGAAACCTTCCTCAGCTGCTTCTCCAGTGCCATCAGGCTGGAATATCCCCACGGAGAACAGAAGCTGCTGCCTGTGCCCTGTCGCATCCCAGCAGGGAAGGGATGTGTGACTCAGATTGTAAATGACTTTCCATCCTCATCCTAGAGAGGACAGAAACCAAACCGTTCACAGGAGTCAAACTTCCATGGAGAAGTACCTGTTTTGCGGGTGGTGCTGGCATGGAAATAGCGCTGCCGGCCACAGCCATATGCTGCAGGAGGGACTCGTGTCTCTCTCAGCTACAGCACCCCGAGGAGGGGATGGCGGTGTGTGTGGGAGGATGCTCGCAGCACCTCGCAGTCAGCGCTGAGCAGCTCTTACAGCTCTTCCCCGGCTCTCCGGGCGATGGCAGTAACACATTAACGGCGCCGCAGCGCACCCGTGCAGCACCTCTGAATTCCTGCACCGCCAGCAGGCAGGAGTGGCTGAAAGCCTTTGGGATGTGCTGAGACCAAACCCCGCGCACCCCTTTTAATCCCTTTCCCCCTGCAGATGACCACCGGAGTCTCAGTGAAATAAGTGAGAGCGCAGAGCTCTGTGTCTGTTCTGGGGTTCGGTGGCTCTGCCTGGCAATCCGGTGGTCTCGCTGACGGGGCAGCGATGCATGTCAACATTAATACTTGGGCGTAGGAAAGCTTAATGTTCAAAACGCAGTGCCTGCTGTCGTGAGATTCACTGTCACCAGATGACTGTCCTGTTTGCTTTTGCTGCATTTTGGGGGTTTTTTAAATGCCACCCCCCCCGTTCTGAGAGCAACCGTCCTCTGCTAATGGGGGATGACACTCATTTGGTGGCTCTCTGATGCATAAAGGAACATCTGAGCTAATATCACCAGCCTGTGATGTGTGTATTCCTCCTCTGGCACTTCAGCACAAGTCACAGCTTGTTACCTTCCCTGGAGAGCTCCAGCTGGAAAGCACAAAATCTACATCCTTCTTGCTGGAAGACTCGGGGTTTTACCTAGGTAACTGCTTTTCTTTTAATGTTCGGGTATCTTCATCCTTTCTGTCCCTTCCCACCCTTCCTATGGCAGGTTAGACTGCAGCTCAGAGCATGACACTCCTCATCAGCCTGATCACAGTGTGGTTTTTCTCCATGCAATTAGCTCAAGTGTGTCTAGTGGTGGAACAGCCACCGACGCCTGTGCGTCCTGGGTGAAGCTGCGGGCAGGCTTGGAAGGGTGACAAACCATTAAATCGGCTGGAGGATTACGGGAGGAAAGGACCGGTGGAGTATCTGTCAAGGGCGGAGGTCTTGCAGGCTTTCTTCTCTCTGGCAACCTTGGGTTTAGCCGCTTTGTGCCCTGCGGAAAAGGGCACAGGAAGATCTCGCTGGCTGGGACTGCTGCTGGGGCCGAGGTGTCCGCTCGCAGAGTGCAGCCAACTTCCCAAACTCCCGCCGGGGCTGTCTGGCTGAGGGAGGACAAGCCCTTCTCCCCATTCAGGCTGTATTTTGCCTGGTCTCTGTTTGCTAAGTGCCCGTATGTCAGGAAAGCAGTTCCTCCTTGTTCAGCAGTGGCTCAAAACCCCTTGGCACCTTTCTCTCTGCCCAGCGTCATGGTGTCGGCAGCACCGTCCCGCAGAGGTCTTTCCCACAGCTTCGCTCAGTGCCCTCGGTGGGAATGACAAAGGGAGAACGTGTGGATGATGCAGGAGCGAGGAGACTTTATGTGCTTGTATGCGAAGGGTCTGGGGAAACATTCAAGTTAAATGCAGGGCGAGTACTTGTGCTAGAAGAGCGCAGATAGTGCACGCGGGAGCAGTGACTCTTGGTGCGAGTTTTATGCCTTTCTCCTTCCCGTTAGCCTTGCTCGCGGGGTGTGGGCTGGCAGGCTCGGGTACCGGCAGGTCCCAGCTGCAGTGGTATCGCAGACAGGCGCATGGTGACTTTCTCTCCCCTCACCCCTCTGATTCAGTGCAGAATTACTCAGCTGTGAGCACCAGCTCTTATTCAGATAAAATGCGAGACAGGTCAAATGACTGTTCTTCCCTCTTTGGAGGACATCTGCGTGGTACCAGGTGCGCGATACTGAAATCCGATGGCTTGAATGAGCAATGCAAGAGACAGAGATGTAGTGGAGCGCATCTGACGACACCAGGTTGGGGTTCACACCCCAGAACCAAGCTCCTCAGGCTCCAGTATCCCTTCAATGCTTGCTTTGACTGCCTGTGGGCAATGGAAGGGGCGTGTTTGATCCCATCTCAAAGCTCTGCTGTACTTCAGGTAGCCCAGTGAGCACTTAGACACGCTCCAGGTCGGTTATGCCCCGCTTGCTTTCCAACTGCGTCATTTTTTTGCATTTTTTGCCCTTCTGCCGTGCGAGAAGTGGCATGCTTCGCCAGGCTGGCGGCGTGCTTTCCAGCCTTCCTCGGGGCCTCACGCTAAGAGGTTGATTGGGAGCGCTGCTGCTTCAATTGACCGCTTGCTCTCAAAGCCATGTGCATGGGACCTTGTTCTCGTTTTCTCTAGCAGGTGGGAAGCTGTTCTGAAAGCTAATGAATTGTTCCTTGCTCAAGCAGTTCTTTGCAAGGCTGGAAACTCACATTTTAACACACAAATCCTTGGGAACAGGAGCATCCAGCTAAAGAAATCTCACACCCTGCTCCTCCCAGTGCCCTGTAGAGTGCAGCAATGTTGAGGGAGAAAATTATTCATTTCCTTTCCAGTTTTCTAATAGCTTTGCGGTATGTTTCACTTAGACAAATCCAAGCCTCTCTTTCATCAGGACATTTAAGCTGATTCATAAAGGATTGGTTTGGTTTGGCCCAACCTGAAAAAAAGTCTTCAAAAATGACAGCTTCAGGCCCCTTGGGCTTTGGGGTCGGCGAGCAGGCGGCTCAGAGCTGCTGCTTTTGAGCACCGCGGAAGGTGCAGAGCAGACCTGGACGTGACGGGCCGCTGGGAAAACCTGAGCGTGTAGATTTTGCAGGTCTTGTGACAAATTAGTGACGGTGCCAGCTTATTTACTTTCCGCAAATAGAAACTCAATTGTAAATGCCAGAGAGCAGGGAGTAGCTTACCCCAGCAGCTGGGGGAGAGGAGTAACTGGAGGTCCCCTGCAGCACGCAGTGCAGGAGGAAGGCTCTGCACCTTACTTGTGCCTCTGTTTCCCCTTTGCTAAGTGGGTGTGTCCTCTTTGGAGAGTTTTGTTTGAAAGGAGCTAACAGCAGCAGAGCATTATCCTTGAATTTCTGCTCTGTCAGACATGTCGTCGTCCCAGCTGGGGCTGTGCGGTGTGAGACAGGCTGCTGAGCTAGCTGCCTTGGAGGACAGTTCCCTTTCTGTGATAAGCAGGGGTAAAAGATGGTCTTCTCTAACTATAAATAACATTTCTTTTCTGAAGTGTCTTGCTCCCCTGCCTTAGGTCATTAGTACTTGTGTATCCGCTCCTTATCTGTCTCCTGAATTATTCAAGCCACAACCACGCCTGCAGCCTTGCTGAGGTGCTCACCGTGCCAGCACCTTCTCTGGGTTACCTTGTTCAGTCACCCCTGAGCTTCAGAGACGGGACAGGCAGTCAGGGGACAGTTTCTTTGCACTAGTTCCAGGCACGATACCAGTATCCTGAATACACAGTGCTGCTTCTCTTGCATGTGCTTTACATCTAATTAAATGGCTTACTCTCTCTGACTGCTGGACCTTCAGTGATTTCTGTGGCCCTCCTTCTGTTTTGGCACACTAATCTGTCAAGTTTTGGGGTTTCTCCTGCATTCTTCCTTAAAAATGCCTGATGCTCAAGCAGAGGCTGCTGGTCAAGCTGGAGATCCCATCTGGAGCTGGAGCTGTCCTGCGCTGTGCTGTGTGAGGGTGGCAAAGACCCTGTGGCTGCCCTTGCTCAGTTAGATCCCTATGAATAAATTTTTAGGGGGGTAAGACAGTCTTCCTCCTCCTCTCATGACACCCTTCCTGTTCTAGGAGTGGCCAAAATCCCTCCTAATCTGGGAGACCGAGTACATTTGTTTACTCAACCTTTACTAGAAGAGGGAGAGGCCTGACAGGAAAGCAGCGGGCAGGGAAAGCCGATGTCTTAAACAAATGAATTTGCACTTTGAAATCATGCATGGTCCAGTTGCTGGGGAATTGTGTCTCAAGGCACTGGCACTAAGCACTTAATGACCAAGAATTTGAAGACTGCCAGTTGTAATAAAGGCTTCATCCCTCTAATGGCTTTTTCCCCATCTTTGGCCCCAGCTGCTTGGAGTGGAGCTAGGCGTCCCTTCCCTTCCCAGCCCGAGGACGTGTTTTGATTCGGTATTTGTGGGCTTTGGTTCTGTGTTTTGATAGGTTTTGTCTTTAAACTCTTGAGCTGTGGAGCAACTTATGGTTTTTTTGTTTAATAGAGTCTCAAACCTATTGCTTACTCTGAAGTGGGCCCTACCCCAATGTGCATAATTCTGCTCCTACTCCTTAAACACCGATGAAGACAGCAGGTTGCGTTACTGCTGGGGTGGTTTTGCTGTGCAGCTGCCTTTGAGTAAATCCATTCCGTTAATGATCGATCAGTTCGTTGTGCCATCCCTGTGAATAATGGATGAGAGCCATAATTAAGTGTCCATGTAACTAACCTAAATACGAAGTGCTTTGCAGCATGTGACGCTGCCCCAGACAGAGATGTTCACTTGTTGTTTCTTTCTTTTTGCCAGACCTTACAGGCTTTGGGAGAGGAGAAAAAAAAAAAAACTTGAAGCCAAAGTGCTGAAAGCCCCTAAGGGCCTGTTGCATGGTCTTGTAAGCCTCTTCCCTGGGCCTTGGAGGGCAAAGTGGCTCTTAAACTCCTTGTAAAGCACTTTAAAATTACCACAAGAGCTGCATTGCTTGTTGGATTCGGTCTAACCACCTGCCCTGGCTCTTAGGAAGAGCATGAGCCAGGCCTGAGGACAAATTCAGCCTCTTGACTGGCTTGTCTCGAACAACTGCTGAACTTTCAACCTCCGACCACTTATTAAAATTAAAGTGGAAAACTTAATCTGATTGTCAGCAGTCCTGGCTGGTACCTCCCGCTCCTTCCTGACAGCGGGGTTGTGTTTCGCAGTACTGACATCATGGGAAGCCAGCGCGTGGTTGCAGACAGGACAGGGATGGGGGAATTATTATTCTGAAGGGACGGGCCAGGCTGTCACTGTCTCGCTGGAGGTCGGGGGGAAGCAGCCGATGTCCCTTCTGATAAGGTGAGGTCAGCGCTGCATTAGCTACAGAAGTGAGGTGCCTGTTTCTGTTCAAGAGGGGTTCCCTGCTCTTACAAGGGATAGTTTGATCCCCCTGCCTTACGAAGGCGTAAGGGTGGAGGTGACCTGGTCCTTTCTCCCTTCCAGGAAGAGAGGGAGAAGCGGCGGCTGGAGCAGCTGGAGCGTAAGAAGGAGCTGCAGCGCCTGCTGGAGGAGGAAGACTCGAAGCTGAAAGGGAAGTCGCCCAAGCAGGTCACTCCGGGCAAAGTCACCAGGGCTCAAATCGAGGAGACGATCAGAAAAGACCAGCAGCAGAAGGAGAATGCAGATACAGGTTTGGTGGTACCATAGAAAGGCCCTGACGGTGGCGGGGGGGCTGGGGAGCGGGAAGGGGGGCTGTTCCTTTTTCACCTACTGTTGGTGAAGGACAAGGTGTTTGGAAAGCAAGAGCTGCCTGCAGCTATTGTGTGCTGCATGCTTTACTGTGTCTGTGTCTAACACCCAAATGGGGGAAGAAGAAACCTCCTGTCACCTTCAGGTGGAGAAACAGAGCTGCAGAGCAGGCACTCTTCTCTTCCGGGGCTGGGACTGAACTCTGGCTGAGTTTTCTCAGCACTTTCTTCAGAGTACTTTGGAAAACCCTCTTCTGAGGGTTTTGCACAGGCTCGGTTTGATGTTAACGTTTCTCCCTTTCCCTCTTCCCTGTGCAGCGGAGAAGGAGAAGACTCACTTGGAGGTCCCCTTGGAAGAGAACATCAACAGAAGGGTACTGGAGGAAGGATCGGTGGAGGCCAGGACGATTGAAGATGCCATTGCTGTCCTCAGGTATGTGGCCATATCGTAGCAGTGCTCTCCTTTGAAGGCGTCGCTTTCCTTACGAGAAATTCTCGCAGACACTCCCTCCCCCACAACTGGCTTCTTTTTATGCTTTGACTGTGACTTTCTATCTCAACAGCAAAAACAGGACACGTCCCCTGCCCTGTTGTTCTGTGGAGAGTATTTGAAGTGGGCAGGGGAAGTATCACGGGGTTTTCTGCTTTATCACCCAAGTTATTCTGTATGCACTTGGTTGCACTGACAGGGGATCAGAGCGGGGTGAGTGGCTGGTGCCTGCGGGGAGGTGTCTCTGATGCACGTCTCTCTCTGAATTCCCTCCCGGCAGCGTTGCCAATGATCCGGACCGGCACCCTGAGCGCCGGATGAAAGCTGCCTTCACAGCTTTTGAAGAGCTCAATCTGCCACGCCTGAAGCAAGAGAACCCCAACATGCGCCTGTCCCAGCTCAAGCAGCTCCTCAAGAAGGAGTGGATGAAGTCTCCAGAAAACCCCATGAACCAGAGGCATAAAGCTTACAACAGCCAAAAGTAGAACTAGAGCTGATCATCCCCCACGGACAGTGGGCTGGAGCCCCAGGGCTCTGCTCGGATGAAAACAGGAGACACAAGGAACCTCCTCTCCTTTTGTTTCCCTTCCCTGCCCCCATTTTCTGTCTTTCTCTGTTCTTGGATTTAAGATAAGCAGGAGGCCACAGCTTGCCTGGGGACCCTGCAGCGTCCTGCCGTCTTCACTGACGGCCCGTGCCCCCGCACATGCTCACCCCTCCACAGGCAGCTGGTGCAGAGCAACCTGGACAGACTAACACTACCTTCATGCTTCCGAATTCAGTAGTTGTCTTACAGAAAAAAAGCTACTAACTCGCTTCCAGACCTTCAGCATGGGCAGCGCTTGCGAGGTGCAACATCAGCACTGTCGCCTGCCGAGGTGGGGACCCCCTGCGCTGGCTAGCGCCTTGCGTTAACCCGCTCACAGCCTGGACCTGAGCCAAACTGCATTCATCCCTCTCTCTACCGTGGCTGCGCCGCACCCTCGTGCTCTGCAGGGTGAATTTTTGCAACCGTCACGAGGAAGGCACCTGGCCTCTGTTGCTCGTGTTGTCCTTGGTGCTGGGATGTCCCCGAAGAGATTCCAGACTGGGATCGCTGTTGGCCCTGCCTGCTGCCGGCCACCTCTCTCCTTTCGATCTCGACTGGTGGTGCGTTAGAAGGAGGAACCACAACGGGAGCAGAAGCTCTGTCAGTGCAGTGTTGTGGGGAAGAGAGAAAATAACCTTCCATCTTCAAAGGGGAGTGGGAGAAATAACACAGCACAGCATGGTTCCTGCCTTGTCTGGACACTGGTGCCAGACTTCTCTGTGTGACTTTCCTGGTGGCCTTGCCCAGAGCCTCACACACTGCTGGTGGGACAGGAGGGTTCCTGGAGGGGCTGCAACCCCGCACTACCCAAGAACTACCCCAAGAAGGGAAGCCGCTGCTTCTCCCATCGCTTCTTCCCCTGCCTGCTCCCAGGTTCAGGCAAGAAAGTGCCCCGTGAGCCTGTGGAAGGGGATGTAAAACTGTTGGCTCGGCAGCTTCCCCCGCCGCTGGACCGCAGGCACTAACCTGGCTGTGCTGCCTCTGCTCCCCTTCGGCCGGAGCCCTGGGGTCTCTCCGCTGGCCCAGGCAAAAAGAAATCGGTGAGCTCCCTTGGGAGGGCGGTGGCAGCGCCCAGGCAGGGCTGGAGAGGCTTAGCCCCGGAGCCACGGCGGAGTCCTGCCCCTCGCCTTGAGCAGGCACTGGGTTTTCCTCTCTTCCCTCTTCCCTGTCACATCTCTTCTGGTCTCTTTTGGGAGTGAAATTCTTTCCTAAGGTCTAAACCCTTGACCACCATTGCTGTTGGTGCTTACCTGTGTGCTTAACGGGGGCTGCCAAACCAAGACAAACTCACGGCTGGCTTGGCATCCCGCTGGGGTTTCTTCTGATGATACTAAACAAATAGGGTTCATCCCCAGCCAGGTAACAGGCGGCGTGTGGCCTCTACCCCTGCGGAGGATCGCCTGCGAGCAGGCAGGGAGGGTCGCAGGAGTCCTCAAGGCTGCAGAGGCGTTTGCACTTTGGTGGCAGAGGCGTTTGCATTTGGGTGGTGAAGGGGTTGCGGGAGGCGATGCTCAAGCTGAAGCCGACGGCCTGCGGCAGTTTCGGGGCTCTCCCCAGCCCTCTCTGCACCCTGCTTGCAGACCCAGGCTGAAGGAGCTGGGCTGGCCCCTGCCAACGTTCCCCCTGCCCCTGCTCGCGCAAGCCCGGTAAAGACAGGGAGGAATGCACCCAGTGTCTCCCCTTTCTGTGAGAAGTTTGTTGTGTTTGAACCCGATTAAAAACCCCAAAACCCTGTTAACTTGTTGAAGGAATAAAGGCCTGGGGTGGAGGGCTCTGTTTTCCTGGCTTGCTCTGGCGGGGGCTGTTT